GGACAATATAAAGAGACTGTACCTTTAAGGGTTGCCTGTATGTCGGTGGGGATATGTGTTTAATTATGCATAATGTATGCTGGCTGTAATACTGTGTATTTCCTGTATTTGCTATCTGCCAAATGCAGATAGCTATTTGTATTGGGTTTTCCTTTCGTTTCACGAACGGCACTTTTGCGGGCCGTTCGTGAACCGAAAACACTCTACATAGTAGCCCACACACTTAGAGGCACTTGTTAACCGATTGCAACAATGTTGCAATCGGTAATTAGAGGCTCTCCTAGGTGGCCGCCGTTCGACTACCGACCATGCGGCGGTCGGCCATCTTGGATCCTTTGTGTTAGGTCATCGAGCGCATGGTACTAAAAACGGCTACTCGACGGCGCGAACACCGCTGAGCCTCCAGGCCGTTTGGGAGTTCCGGGCCGTTCGGTATTTCATTCCCTGGAAGGCAATCTGTCATTTTAATATGTCTTTTAATAAATGTGTTTTTCGTGCAGCGTTCGGTTGTTTTAGCTGGGATCTGAGCGGTAATCTCACGAATGATGCGCTCAGACCCCAGCTATCTACCGAACGTCCATTCGTTTAAATAGACCGCATATTCATAGAGTTATACATTTTTATACGAATTGTAAGTTCTGCTGCACGAAGGGATAATCCACTTAACGGTATATTCCAGTGGGAGGATCCCTCTCATGCAGCAGTGCCTGATGGGAGAAATGCCCTGTATTGTAAGTCCCCCATGTAGTCCCCTCTGGGAATGCCCCTGGGAAGGGACTCAGGAAACCCCTTGCATTGGGACTTGTATAAATTGTGAAGCTGAATTAAAAGACCTCAGTTGACTCTCAGAACTGTGTTTCGTCCGGTTACTGGGAGGTTTGGGATATTGCCTTGTTGTTTCCAGCGCTTGACTGTGGATTATTTCCTGAACTAGCGGAATTCGTGGATTTAATATTGGCGTTCCGCTACAATTGGTGGCAGCGACGGGATCCAACTCTACAGCTGAATACAGCGCATTCGAATGAAAGGAACAACCGAACGGAAAAAGGGAATGGCAATTCGTATGCAGCAAACAGGCGAAAGAGATCAGTGGATGGGGACTGATTACACGACTTTAAAAAGACAGACGCTAAAGGAACTGCTGGAGGCTAGAGGGAAAAGCGCTAGCAATAAATCCAAAGCGGTACTAATTGCAGAGCTGATGGAGGGCGACCGAGCACACAGCAGCCCACCCCTACCAGCCAGGGAGGAAACCCCATATCAGAGGGAACCGAGAACCTGGCTGGAATTTGTACCTCAGCCAGTACCCCTGGACATCTTGACCGTTCTGATGGCAGACGTACAGGACTACATTATGGCGCAACAGCACCAGGGGGCACCATCCACGGCAGAATCCATCGCCAACTCATTCTACGCTCCAGTGAAACAGAAAATACCGTACCAGGCATTTAAAGCATTCTGTGAGGAGAAGGATGAGATTGACAGGTACCTGCAGGATTTCGAGCGGCTGTGTGACCTACACGACCTGGAGCAGGCAATGTGGGTACCCCTGCTAGAAGGCAAGTTGGCAGGGCGGGCAGCAGAGGCTTATCGCGCTGTTCCCAGAGAGGACAGCAAGGACTATTTTAAAGTAAAACGGGCAATCCTAGAGAGGTATGCCATCACACCGGAGGCATATCGGCGTAAATTTCGGGGATTGCGGAAGCCTGAAAAAGATTCCCACGCTGAGTGGGCACATAAGCTTGACCAAGCTTCGCAAGGGTGGATTCAGGCCAGCCAGGCCACCACCATGGAGGAGCTGCGCCAACTAATTTTGCTGGAGCAATTCTTTAACGGACTTATACCAGAGGCACAAGAATGGGTAAGGGACAGAAAACCCCTCACCCTAACGGAAGCCGCCCGGTTGGTGGATCAACACTTTGATGCCAGGAGGCATCATGGGCTCACCAACAAGGGTCCCCTGAGACCACCGGTACAGCACCACCCGACCACCTCCGCACCAACCAACTCCGCCCCATTCCGGCCAGCACAAGGGAACCCCCCACCACCATCACGCTACAATGGCAGAGCAAACATCCAATGCCAAACCTGCCGTCAGTGGGGGCATATGTCCCGGGAGTGCACCCAGAATCGGAGCAGACAGGCGTGGAACCAAGTGCGGCAGAATTCCACCCCAAGGGCAGCAGCACAATATTACCACGCCGAACCCGACAACCCCGAGCTGATGAGCCTGCAGACCGAGGAACCTCTGGGGGTTTTGTATGAGGTGATGTCTGTGCAAGCCACGGACAACAGGCAGCATCACCGTCAAGTTGTGTTTGTGGGGGGGAAAGAAGTACAGGGGCTGAGGGACTCGGGAGCCACTTTAACCCTGGTTGCCCCACATTTGGTTCCAGATACGGCCCACACTGGCGGATCGGTGGCAGTCAGGGTGGCCGGGGGAGCCATGTACCGGCTACCCACTGCCAAGGTGCATTTGAACTGGGGTGCTGGGGAGGGGGTTGTAGAAGTGGCAATAATGAAGAAGTTACCGGCAGATGTTGTGTTGGGGAATGACTTGGGCCAGATGACTTCAGCCTTCCTACCTCAGGCCCCTTCGCAAGAAGCTCATCCTGTAACTACCCGGCAACAGGCTCGAACCACGGTTCCACCAGCACACTCTGAGGCTCAGGTAAGAAACCATGACCCCCCCTCGACGCATATGACCTGGGACATCCTGACCACCTTTGAAGCCGAGGTCCAGACAGACCCCACACTGCAAGTGTACAGGGATAGGGTAGACACGGACCAGGTGGGGCGGGAGGGGGAGCGGTACATTTGGGAAAACAAATTGTTGTACCGGGTAGCCGAAAGGGCGATAGGGAGCTCTGTAACAGTCCAAATTAAACAGCTGGTAGTACCCCAGAAATATAGACCCGAGTTACCGAGAATAGCTCATGACATTCCTCTGTCGGGCCATTTAGGGATGACCCGTACCCGGTATCGCTTAACTCACGCTTTCTTCTGGCCCGGGATTTCTAAAGATGCAAGACACTATTGCACCTCCTGTGATGTGTGTCAGCGGGTAGGTAAGAGAGGGGATCGCCACAAGGCGAAACTGTGTCCCCTACTTATAATTGAGGAACCGTTTAGCCGTAGATATAGTGGGACCGCTACCAAAACCCAGCCCATCTGGGAAGCGGTATATACTGACCGTGGTGGACTACGCCACCCGGTACCCCGAGGCGATTGCCCTAACCAATATTCATGCGGAGACAGTGGCAGAAGCTCTGATGAAAATCTTTTCCCGAGTAGGGTTCCCGCAGGAAATTGTTTCCGATAGGGGGACCCAATTTACAGCCGAGGTCACCCAGCAGTTATGGAAAATATGTGGCATTAAGCCGATCGTTAACTCTGCCTACCATCCCCAATCCAACGGATTATGTGAGAGGTTCAACGGTACCCTAAAACAGATGCTCCGTACATTCGGAGAGACCCATAAGGACTGGGAGTGGTTCCTTCCCCATCTGTTGTTTGCATACAGGGAGGTACCCCAAGAATCTACCGGCTTCTCCCCGTTCGAACTGTTGTTTGGGAGAAGGGTACGGGGACCGTTGGACCTCATTAGAGAGCATTGGGAGGGGGAGAGTAGCGCAGATGGGACCCCTATTGTACCATATGTGCTGGCATTCCGGGATCGCCTGGAGGAATTGACCCAGGCAGTGCGCACTAACCTCCAGGCCGCCCAACAACGTCAGCGCCATTGGTATGACAGGGGGGCCAGAGACCGTAGTTTTCAAGTGGGGCAGAAGGTGTTAATCCTCAAACCTGTCCGCACAGACAAACTACAGGCCGTCTGGCAGGACCCATACCAGGTGGTAGAGCAGAGATGCGATACCACATGTGATCGGCCCATTCTCCGGGGTAGGGAAGCGACGCATGCTCCATGTGAACATGCTCAAACCCTACCACGAGTGAACGGAGGATGTGGCAGCCATTTGCACGCCCGCCTCGGAAGATCAGGAGAACCTACCTCTCCCAGATCTGTTAGAGCAGGAGGAGCAGAAGGAGCCCTCCCAGGGGGTTCAGCTGGGGGAGCGGCTAAGTCCTCAAGAGCGCACCCAGGTACAAGAACTGATAGCGGCGAAGGCCGCCACCTTTTCTAACTTACCTGGGTACACTCCACTGGCCACTCACCGAGTAGAAACCCCGGGACAGCTCCCCATGCGACAAACCCCATATCGGATTCCCGAATCCGTACGGGAGCATATGAGGAAAGAGATTGAGGAGATGTTGCAGTTGGGGGTTATCGAACACTCCGATAGCCCCTGGGCATTGCCGGTAGTCCTGGTTCCCAAGAAAGACGGTGTGGCGAAACCGGCCTCGCCACGTGTCCTTGGAGGTGGCTGCTTGCCCGCCTCTTGCCTTTGGACTATGGACCAGACTTTATGTGAAGTTATTAACCCAGATAGCTATGCCATGGAGCCCATTCGTGTAGTTAAAGACTTCGGCTCCATGGCAATTGAACTGTGTGAATAGGATCTGAGCGCTATTCGGTAGTTTTGTGCGCTCAGATCCCAGCTATCTGGGGATATGTGAAATGTCTGTGTGTTATGTGTAAATGTGACTTTATGTATTTTAAAGTGTTTTGTGTCTTTTGCAACCATGTGCTTAATGGAGTCTTGTGTCTGTCCTGGGAGATAATTGAATTACTCTCCAGGATAGAAGACTCTGAAACTGGTTTGGGCCGGAAAGCCATGCTTCATTTAGTCACAAAGGACTTTCCCTTAACTTTTGAACCCCTGGTCTGATTCGTGCCATTTTTTAATATGTTGTTCCCCTGAATGGATTGATTATGAAAATGTATGTTTTATGTTTGTGACATGTATATTTTAGAAGTTATAAATATTGTGTAAAAACTGTATTCCTCTGCCGGTGATAATGAGATTACCCATTGTGTTCAGTAATCATATCACATGCAGAGGGGAGGATTTTGTGTGGGAGTGTCTGGGTGTATTGTACGGATTGATTGGTTGTTTTGTAACGCCCTGTGGGCTGTACTATGTTTGTGGATTGGGAATAAAAGAGACTGTATGTGACAGTACAGGGAGTTCCTGTTTTAACCCTCAAAGTGAAGTGTCGTCTCATTATTGGGGGAAGGATTTATTGTATGCTGTTCCAGTTTGACTGCTAGGAGAGTAAACCTATTCGTATGGTTCCTATTCAACTGTCTACAGCATTCATATGCTTGGGAGAATTTATTTGTTTCTCCGGTTCGGTGATTGTGGTGTCTGCCAGAGTGCTTGGAGTCCTCAGGAAGCGCTAGGAGCATCCTTCAACGGAGGTACCCAGTCGGGGTGCCAGGCGATCCGTTACATTGGTGGCAAGCGGTGGGATGGCGTCCTAGTGCGAGGTAAAGCAGCTCAGAGACACAGTTCGTTTGGATTTACAAATTGAAGGCGACGCTAGTGTTTATACAGCGTCCCTGTCTACATAAAGATTTGGGAAAATGGGGTTCGTGGATCCTTGGGCAACACGCACACCTGAGGAAGAGAGTGAATTGGAATGGAGAGATATTGCCCGGCAAGAACTATGGTACGATGCCCTGGAGGAAGTCCAGTATCAACGGCAGCAGCGCCTTCCTGGTGTCGCATACCGGTTGGAGGAACAAATGGCCTGGCGGATGCCGCTTCTGGGAGACCAACCCGGAGGGCAGCAGGTCAGACAACTTGAGTACCTCGTGGAAAGGGAACTGAGCCTTGACGCCTCATACCGGGCACTGTGGTGGTGCACTGTCCAGCCAGAGACGTGGAGGGCAAAGGGCATCCAGCCGGAGGGGGAGAACTACACTAGCCCTGGCCTGTTGTGGAAGGCCTTAGCAGAAGACGTCGACTTTGGCAGTCCAGCAGAGTCACGGTACTGGGCTATCTTTTATTACCGGGGTGAGATGGTACAGGGCCCGAGATCTATGGGACTGGGACAAGACCTCCACCGTTTGGCTGCCATGGAACGACAGCTAGAGATGGACTATGTGGAACTTCTGAACTCATGTCAGCCGCAGAGCATAGACGCAGAACAGGAAAACTGGGTGGCGGACCCAGACCTGCCAACCTACAGCTGGGAAAACGCAGCCGAGGTCCCCACTGCTTCACTACCAGTTGCAGAAGTAGGGGACCTCATAGACTGGTCCTGGGAAGACCCACCGATGGCAGGTAGAGATGGGATGGCTGTCTCTCTACCGGCCCTACAGGGATGCTGGGCAGTCGGCCCAGATCCCCAGCGGCAGTATGTATCCCAGGGAGTTGAAGGTGCCGTCCTTCCTCCCCAGCGGCAGTGTATATCCCAGGGAGCTGAAGGTGCAGTCCTTCCTTCCCAGCACCAGTGTGTATCCCAGGGAGCTGAAGGTGCAGTCCTTCCTCCCCAGCGGCAGTGTGTACCCCAGGGAGCTGAAGGTGCAGTCCTTCCTCCCCAGCGGCAGAGTGTCCTCCAGGAAGCAGAGACCGTCTGTCTCGCACCCCAGCCGCAGGACAAAATATTGAAAGTGGAGACAGTTGGTCCCCCTCTCCACCAGCAAAGAGAGTGTCAGGGAGAGGAGCCTGATACCCCCTCTCCCCAGCGGCAGTCTACAGTTCAGAGAGAGGAGCTTGTTACACCCTCTCTCCAGCGGCAGCCTAACCCACCAAGGGGAGATGTTAAGCCCCACAACTATGCAGATGGGACCGTAGTCTCTGCACTTGCAGCCCCAGGGGTAGGGACGGTCGGTCCTGTCCCCCAGCCACAGAGCAGTGTATCCAGAGGGGAGACAGTCGGTCTCCCCCTCCCACAACCAGGCTCCAACCAGGCTACTTCAGTGGTAGCGCTGGCACCCGGGCAGAGTACCGCTGGTCTCTGCCACTCAGCAACCCACCAAGGCAGTCTACCAGCCCCCCGCACAGCCGTGGTGAGGCACCTGGACATGGACAAGTTGCTATTTTATCCAGGTGTAGTAACCAGTTATTGTGGGTGGGCTGTATTGCTGTTTGTGCTTGGTGGGTGGGTTGCTGGACTAACCAGGGCACTGACCGGCAGGAGGTCAGATACCCTGTTAGTCTGGATGGTAAAGGGGAGAAATGTGGCGAAACCGGCCTTGCCACGTGTCCTTGGAGGGGGCTGCTTGCCCGCCTCTTGCCTTTGGACTATGGACCAGACTTTATGTGAAGTTATTAACCCAGATAGCTATGCCATGGAGCCCATTCGTGTAGTTAAAGACTTTGGCTCCATGGCAATTGAACTGTGTGAATAGGATCTGAGCGCTATTCGGTAGTTTTGTGCGCTCAGATCCCAGCTATCTGGGGATATGTGAAATGTCTGTGTGTTATGTGTAAAAAGTGACTTTATGTATTTTAAAGTGTTTTGTGTCTTTTGCAACCATGTGCTTAATGGAGTCTTGTGTCTGTCCTGGGAGATAATTGAATTACTTATCTCCAGGATAGAAGACTCTGAAACTGGTTTGGGCCAGAAAGCCATGCTTCATTTAGTCACAAAGGACTTTTCCTTAACTTTTGAACCCCTGGTCTGATTCGTGCCATTTTTTAATATGTTGTTCCCCTGAATGGATTGATTATGAAAATGTATGTTTTATGTTTGTGATATGTATATTTTAGAAGTTATAAATATTGTGTAAAACTGTATTCCTCTGCCGGTGATAATGAGATTACCCATTGTGTTCAGTAATCATATCACATGCAGAGGGGAGGATTTTATGTGGGAGTGTCTGGGTGTATTGTACGGATTGATTGGTTGTTTTGTAACGCCCTGTGGGCTGTACTATGTTTGTGGATTGGGAATAAAAGAGACTGTATGTGACAGTACAGAGAGTTCCTGCTTAACCCTCAAAGTGAAGTGTCGTCTCATTATTGGGGAAGGATTTATTGTATGCTGTTCCAGTTTGACTGCTAGGAGAGTAAACCTATTCGTATGGTTCCTATTCAACTGTCTACAGCATTCATATGCTTGGGAGAATTTATTTGTTTCTCCGGTTCGGTGATTGTGGTGTCTGCCAGAGTGCTTGGAGTCCTCAGGAAGCGCTAGGAGCATCCTTTAACGGAGGTACCCAGTCGGGGTGCCAGGCGATCCGTTACAGACGGTACCACCCGGATTTGTGTGGACCACCGGAGGCTGAACGACAAAACCATGTCGGACGCTTACCCGATGCCCCGGATAGACAAACTGCTAGATAAGATTGCCAGAGGTCAGTATTGTGACGGACCGCTGGCACTCCGACTGAGTACCTCCGCCAATCGATGCTCCTAGTGCTCGCTGAGGACTCCAACCGACACCATCAGCACTGCAAACCCCACTTCCAGCGATGCAACTGCGCCGGGGTCTCTGCTGTCTCCACCCACCCTGGACCCAAGGCCAGGATCCAGCTTCCAGTGGGTGAACCTCTCTTTCCCCAGAGAGCAGGAACAGGAACAATCTCTTAGCAGAACTTAGTGATCATACCCTGGGGAGTATAGTGATTATAGCAATCCCCAGAGTGTATTTCTCCAATCCCCCAAACATGAGCCAAGGCTTAATGCTGGAACAAGACTGATTTACTGGCACACAGAACTCACAATTTATGCATATTATACTCTTCCTAAGCTTGATACTTTGTTTTGTTTTTTAATATAATTATATTATACCCTGCATCCTACCAGTGAATCTGACAAGCATGTAAAATCAGTTCTTCCCTTTCGCATTCAAGAAGGGCACACAACCAAAACATGCTGATGGTGTATAGAGGATGTGTGCAGAAGGAGCTGTATTATCATGTGATGGTATATAGAGGATGTGAGCAGAAGGAGCTGTATTATCACGTGATGGTATATAGAGGATGGTGTGTAACGGAGTAGCAGTATAATCCACGGTATCTCCGCTGGTAGTCAGGATAAAGCAGGTAAAACACAGGCAGCGTAATAATAATCCCTCTTCCCCAAGGACTAGGCGACACAGTCTGGGATTCAACTGTCAACTGTCATTTTATTCCACGGTCACAGTATTTATGCAAGTCCCCATGCAAGGGGTTTCCTGAATGACATTGCAGGGGTTTTACTACAGAGGACTGTTTCCCAGCATGCCTTGCTGTACAGGAGAGATAATTGTGCAAGAATGTACTGTTATTCACATTATCTCTCCGTACAGCAAAATATACAGTTTTACATCAAAAAACAAAACCATAACTGATATAATATTCAGACGAATGCTACACACTGCATATAAATTGAGCATAGCAACAGTTAACGAAATATTCACCCTAAGTGTCCAGAAGTGGCTAGGTTTGCCACAGATGGTATATAGAGGATGTGTGCAGAAGGAGCTGTATTATCATGTGATGGTATATATAGATTGTGTGCAGAAGGAGCTGTATTATCATGTGATGGTATATATAGATTGTGTGCAGAAGGAGCTGTATTATCCCGTGATGGTATATAGAGAATGTGTGCCGAAGGAGCTGTATTATCACGTGATGGTATATAGAGGATGTGACGGAACGCTGGCACTCCGACTGAGTACCTCCGCCAATCGATGCTCCTAGTGCTCGCTGGGGACTCCAAGCACTCCAACCGACACCATCAGCATTGCAGACCCCACTTCCAGCGATGCAACTGCGCCGGGGTCTCTGCTGTCTCCACCCACCCTGGACCCAAGGCCAGGATCCAGCTTCCAGTGGGTGAACCTCTCTTTCCCCAGAGAGCAGGAACAAGCTCTTAGCAGAACTTAGTGATCATACCCTGGGGAGTATAGTGATTATAGCAATCCGCAGAGTGTATTTCTCCAATCCCCAAACATGAGCCAAGGCTTAATGCTGGAACAAGACTGATTTACTGGCACACAGAACTCACAATTTATGCAACACAAAACTCCTCCTCTGGGCCAGGCTAGATAATTGAGTTCCTACAAATACTCAAAGCTCAATTATCTGCTGGCCAGAAATAATACAGTTTCATAAAACACATCACAGGGACCCCAAAACATGCAATAACCCCATAAAAATATCCTTGGAACCGGGGGATCTGGGTGAACCACATATCCAAAATTCACCCAGATCCGTTCAGTACTTTGGAAAATATAGTTTAATGCAGATTCTGCAGAACATATACAGGCTAAATGATAAACAATCACTGTATAATGTGTCCCCTGCTGTATAGTCCAAAACCACTGCACGATGTCTCTGTGCACCAAATACTAGCGAGATGGCACCGTGTTGAAAAGTCCAAACAGTGTCTGTGAGTTAAAATGGCCGCCATCCATTGTTCTCACCATGTGCTTCTGATACAGGAAATGGTGGCCACCCAGTAACTCCACAGTATGTCCCCAGATGGTTCTTAAAGGGCCAGCAGCAGCACAACACAAATCCATTATGCCCAAATCATGTCTTTAAAGGGCAATACATCCCAGGGGCCATAGTCACAGGGCAAGAGGCGGGCAAGCAGTCCTCTCCAGGCACAAGTGGCGAAGGGCACTTCGTCACAAGTATCTCACTACAATCGATCTTTGTAAGGGATACTGGCAAATTCCACTAGCCGAGGACGCCATCCCCAAGCCAGGTCGGAACAGATGGCGGAGAACATCCCGTAGCATATTTGAGCCGGAAATTGTTCCCCCGAGAAGTGAGCTACGCCGCCATCGAAAAAGAATGCCTGGCCGTGGTGTGGGCCCTGAAAAAGTTACAACCGTATCTCTATGGGCAACCCTTTTCTTTGCTCACAGATTACAACCCGTTGGTGTGGCTGAACCGTGTGGCTGGAGACAATGCCAGGCTGCTGTGCTGGAGTTTAGCGCTGCAGCCATTTGACTTTACTATCCATTATCGCCCAGGGAAACAAAACGGTAATGCTGACGGGTTATCTAGACAAACAGACCTTGAGAAGTGATCTGTGAGCCCTCCTCCGGACAGCCCCAAGCCGATCCGTTGGGATCAGACTGTGTATGCCGGCTTGGTTCTGGGGGAGCATATTGTAGCGGAACGCCAATATTAAATCCACGAATTCCGCTGGTTCAGGAAGTAATCCACAGTCAAGTGCTGGAAACAACAAGGCAATATCCCAAACCTCCCAGTAACCGGACAAAACACAGTTCTGAGAGTCAACTGAGGTCTTTTAATTCAGCTCCACAATTTATACAAGTCCCCATGCAAGGGGTTTCCTGAGTCCCTTCCCAGGGGCATTCCCAGAGGGGACTACATGAGGGACTTACAATACAGAGCATTTCTCCCATCAGGCACTGCTGCACGAGAGGGATCCTCCCACTGGAATAAACCGTTAAGTGGATTATCCCTCCGTGCAGCAGAACTTACAATTCGTATAAAAATGTATAACTCTATGAATATGCAGTCTATTTAAACGAATGGACATTCGGTAGATAGCTGGGGTCTGAGCGCATCATTCGTGAGATTACCGCTCAGATCCCAGCTAAAACAACCGAACGCCGCATGAAAAACACATTTATTAAAAGACATATTAAAATGACCGATTGCCTTCCAAGGAGTGAAATACCGAACGGCCCGGAACTCCCGAACGGCCTGGAGCCTCAGAGGTGTTCGCGCCGTCGAGTAGCCGTTTTTAGTACCATGCGCTCGACGACCTAACACCGCTGAGGGAACAAAGGATCCAAGATGGCCGACCGCCGCATGGTCGGTAGTTGAACGGCGGCCACCTAGGAGAGCCTCTAATTACCAATCACAACATTGTTGCAATTGGTTAACAAGTGCCACACGCCTCTAAGTGTGTGGGCTACTATATAGAGTGTTTTCGGTTCACGAACGGCCCGCAAAAGTGCCGTTCGTGAAACAAAAGGAAAACCCAATACAAATAGCTATCTGCAGTCGGCAGATAGCAAATACAGGAAATATAAGGTATTACAGCCAGCATACATTATGCATAATTAAACACATATCCCCACCGACATACAGGCAACCCTTAAAGGTACAGTCTCTTTATATTGTCCAAGTGGCTAGGTTTGCCACAGCCAGTATATCAGTCAGTCAGTATATCAGTCAGTTAGTCTATCAGTCAGTCAGTCAGTCTGTCTATCAGTCAGTCAGTCAGTCAGTATATCAGTCAGTCAGTCAGTCTATCAGTCAGTATATCAGTCAGTCAGTCAGTCTATCAGTCAGTCAGTCAGTCAGTCAGTCTGTCAATCAGTATATCAGTCAGTCAGTATATCAGTCAGTCAGTCAGTATATCAGTCAGTCAGTCAGTATATCAGTCAGTCAGTCAGTATATCAGTCAGTCAGTCAGTCAGTCAGTCTGTCTATCAGTCAGTCAGTCAGTATATCAGTCAGTCTGTCAATCAGTATATCAGTCAGTCAGTATATCAGTCAGTCAGTCAGTCAGTCAGTATATCAGTCAGTCAGTATATCAGTCAGTCAGTCAGTCAGTCAGTATATCAGTCAGTCAGTCAGTCAGTATATCAGTCAGTCAGTCAGTCAGTCAGTATATCAGTCAGTCAGTCAGCGTCAGTATATCAGCCGGGCCGTCAGTATATCAGCTCAGTCAGTATATCAGTCAGTATACATTCGCCAGTATATCAGCCGTCAGTATCAGTCAGTCAGTCTATCAGTCAGTCAGTATATCAGCCGTCAGTCAGTATATCAGTCAGTCAGTCAGTATATCAGCCGTCAGTCAGTATAATACCGCCGTATATCAGTCAGTCAGTCAGTCACCCATCAGTCAGTCAGTCAGTCAGTCAGCGTAGCACCGGCCCATCAGCATCGTTCCGTATCGTCAGTCAGTATATCAGTCAGTCAGTCAGTCAGTATATCAGTCAGTCAGTCAGTATATCAGTCAGTCAGTCAGCCCATCAGTCATCAGTCGCATATCAGTCAGCATATCAGTCAGTCAGTTCCATCATCAGTCAGTCAGTCATCAGTCAGTCAGTATATCAGTCAGTATCTCAGATAGTCAGTTAGTGAGGCAGTATATCAGTCAGTCAGTATATCAGTCAGTCAGTCAGTATATCAGTCAGTCTGTATATCAGTATGTCAGTCAGTCTGTATATCTGTCAGTCAGTCTGTCAGTATATCAGTCAGTCAGTCAGTATGTCAGTCAGTCAGTCAGTCTGTATATCAGTCAGTCAGTCAGTCAGTATGTCAGTCAGTCTGTATATCTGTCAGTCAGTCTGTCAGTATATCAGTCAGTCTGTCAGTATATCAGTCAGTCAGTCAGTCTGTCAGTATATCAGATAGTCAGTATATCAGTCAGTCAGTTAGTGAGGCAGTATATCAGTCAGTCAGTCAGTCAGTCAGTATATCAGTCAGTCAGTCAGTATATCAGTCAGTCAGTCAGGCAGTATAGCAGTCAGTCAGTCAGTATATCAGTCAGTCAGTATATCAGTCAGTCAGTATATCAGTCAGTCAGTCAGTCTGTCTATCAGTCAGTCAGTCAGTCAGTATATCAGTCTGTCGTCAGTCAGTATATCAGTCTGTCGTCAGTCAGTATATCAGTCAGTCAGTCAGTCAGTATGTCAGTCAGTCAGTATATCAGTCAGTCAGTATATCAGTCAGTATATCAGTCAGTCAGTCAGTATATCAGTCAGTCAGTCAGTATATCAGTCAGTCAGTTAGTTAGTGAGGCAGTATATCAGTCAGTCAGTCAGTATATCAGTCAGTCAGTCAGGCAGTATATCAGTCAGTCAGTCAGTATATCAGTCAGTCAGTCTGTCGTCAGTCAGTATATCAGTCAGTCAGTATATCAGTCTATCAGTCAGTCAGTATATCAGTCAGTCAGTCTGTATATCAGTCAGTCAGTCAGGCAGTATCTGTCAGTCAGGCAGTATCTGTCAGTCAGTCAGTCTGTCAGTCTGTATATCTGTCAGTCAGTATATCAGTCAGTCTGTCAGTCTGTATATCAGTCAGTCTGTCAGTCAGTCTGTCAGTATATCAGTCAGTCAGTATATCAGTCAGTCAGTCTGTATATCAGTCAGTCAGTCAGTCAGTATGTCAGTCAGTCTGTATATCTGTCAGTCAGTCAGGCAGGCAGTATCTGTCAGTCTGTATATCTGTCAGTCAGTATATCAGTCAGTCTGTATATCTGTCAGTCAGTATGTCAGTCAGTCTGTATATCTGTCAGTCAGTCTGTCAGTATATCAGTCAGTCAGTCAGTCTGTCAGTATATCAGTCAGTATATCAGTCAGTCAGTTAGTGAGGCAGTATATCAGTCAGTCTGTCGTCAGTCAGTATATCAGTCAGTCAGTCAGTATATCAGTCAGTCAGTCAGTCAGTCAGTATATCAGTCAGTCAGTCAGTATATCAGTCAGTCAGTCAGTCTGTCTATCAGTCAGTCAGTATATCAGTCAGTCAGTCAGTATATCAGTCAGTCAGTCAGTCAGTCAGTATATCAGTCAGTCAGTCAGTCAGTCAGTCAGTATATCAGTCAGTCAGTATGTCAGTATATCAGTCAGTCAGTATATCAGTCAGTATGTCAGTATATCAGTCAGTCAGTCAGTCAGTCAGTATATCAGTCAGTCAGTCAGTATATCAGTCAGTCAGTCAGTCAGTATATCAGTCAGTATATCAGTCAGTCTGTCAGTATATCAGATAGTCAGTATATCAGTCAGTCAGTTAGTGAGGCAGTATATCAGTCAGTCAGTCAGTCAGTATATCAGTCAGTCAGTCAGGCAGTATAGCAGTCAGGCAGTATAGCAGTCAGTCAGTCAGTATATCAGTCAGTCAGTATATCAGTCAGTCAGTCAGTCTGTCTATCAGTCAGTCAGTATATCAGTCAGTCAGTCAGTATATCAGTCAGTCAGTCAGTCAGTATATCAGTCTGTCGTCAGTCAGTATATCAGTCTGTCGTCAGTCAGTATATCAGTCAGTCAGTATATCAGTCAGTCAGTATATCAGTCAGTATATCAGTCAGTCAGTATATCAGTCAGTATATCAGATAGTCAGTATATCAGTCAGTCAGTTAGTGAGGCAGTATATCAGTCAGTCAGTCAGGCAGTATATCAGTCAGTCAGTCAGTATATCAGTCAGTCAGTCTGTCGTCAGTCAGTATATCAGTCAGTCAGTCAGTATATCAGTCAGTCAGTATATCAGTCTATCAGTCAGTCAGTATATCAGTCAGTCAGTCTGTATATCAGTCAGTCAGTCAGGCAGTCAGTGCGCGGCCAGCCGCCGCCGCGCCGTCAGTGTCAGTCAGTCAGTCAGTGTCAGTCAGTCAGTGTCAGTCAGTCAGTCATTCAGCGTGTGTCAGTCAGTGTGCCGGGGCCAGTCAGTGTGTCGGGCCGCCGCATATCAGCCGTCAGTGTGTCAGTCAGTCAGTCAGTGTGTCAGTCATTCAGTCAGTATATCAGCTCAGTCAGTGTCAGTCAGTCAGTATATCAGTCAGTCAGTGCGTCAGCCAGTCAGTCAGTGTCAGTCGTCAGTCAGTATATCGCCGTCAATGCGTCAGTCAGTCAGTCAGTCAGTGTGTCACCGTCAGTCAGTATATCAGCCGTCAGTGTGTCAGCCAGTCAGTCAGTATATCAGGCCGTCAGTCAGTCAGTCAGTCAGTGTGTCAGTCAGTCAGTGTGTCAGTCAGTCAGTCAGTCAGTCAGTGTGTCAGTCAGTCAGTGTGTCAGTCAGTCAGTCAGTGTGTCAGTCAGTCAGTATATCAGTCAGTCAGTGAGTCAGTCAGTGTGTCAGTCAGTCAGTCAGTATGTCAGTCAGTCAGTGTGTCAGTCAGTCAGTCAGTATATCAGTCAGTCAGTCAGTGTGTCAGTCAGTCAGTGTGTCAGTCAGTCAGTCAGTATATCATTCAGTCAGTGTGTCAGTCAGTCAGT